TCTTCTTTGTTCAGGGATATGTGCATATGCAATGCTTCTAAACACCTTCAAATGAGATATATTTGACTTTCTTCTTGTCCATGCTTCTTGTGGTGTCATATCTTGTAAGTTCGAAGTTGAGCATCGATTAAGTGTATAAAAAGCACATGTCACCGTCTCGGCCCAAAATTCTTTAGGCATATTATTGCTTTTAACCATGTTTTGTACCATATGAAGAATTGTGCAATTTTTTCTCTCCACTACTCCATTTTGTTGGGGTGAAAATTGTGTTGTTAATTGATATCGAATGTCATGCTCTTCACAATATTCTTTGAATACTTTGGATGTAAATCTCCTCGATCTGATCTAATTGATTTATTGAAAATCTACTTTTTTGTACTTGCTTTTAACTTCTTAAACATAATAAAAGCTTTTGATTTCTCTTTCAAAAAATAAACCCATATTTTTTTGAATAATTATCAATAAAAATTAAGAAATATTGATGCTTATCAAAAGATACTAGAGCAATGGGTACGCATACATCCGTGTGGATTAATTAAAGAGGCTTCTTTGCTCTAAAGCTTGCTTCATTTGGAAAACTCTTTATAGGTTGTTTTCCAAATACACAACATTCACAAATTTGATTTGGATGAAATATATCTGGTAACCCATGCACCATTTCTTTTCTTGACATATTATTTAGATCTCCAAAATTTAAATGCCCAAGCATCATATGCCAAAGACATAATGGATCTTTCACACATGTCTTTAAACATTTCATTACTCCATTTTTTATATTAAGAATAAACATCCTATTTCTTCTCATCTCCACTTGGGCAATTAATTCATTTGAATTATTTTTAATTGCGAGTTTTTTATCATTCATATGAATGTGAATTCATTTCTCAAGTAATTGCCCCAAGCTTAAAATATTGCTTTTCATATTTGGCATATAATAAATTTTAGAAATAATTTGATGGGTTCCATCCTTAAAAAAAATAAGGATTTTAACTTTTCCTTTTATTGAAATTTTTTGAAGAATTGCCAAAATAAATTTGACTCTCCATCGCCTCCATTTCTAGGAACATATTTTTATCTCTGCACATATGATTGCTTGCTCTAATATCTAAATACCAATTATTTTCTTTTTCATCTTCTTCTCCTTTCAATGCTAATAATAAAACTGGATCATCTTCCTTCTCTTTAACAAGGTTGGCTTTCTCTTGATTATGATAACATTCAGAAGCATAATGACCAAATTTCTTGCAAATATAACAACGAACATGAGATTTTTTGTACCTTTTATTTTTAGCTTTTTCTTCCACTCTTCATTTCTTGAGTTTTGATTTTTTCATTATTTCTTTGATATCCACCACGTCGTCATCCACTTCCAAAGCCACGACCACGACCATGACCACGGCCTTGTCCATAAAAGTCTCGATCATTTGAATTATCTTCATTTTTTTTGTGTCGTCTTTGTCATCTTTTAATGAGAGCTTTGATTGGAGAACTTGTTCGATAGTATCCTGTTTTTTTTTTCTTTGCTCATAAGCCATTAAAGAGCCCATTAGTTCATCAACAGTCATTGTCTCTAAATCTTTAGTTTCCTCAATAGCTACGACAATATGCTCAATTTATCATTTATTGAGTATAGAATTTTTTCTATCACTTGAATATCTTTTAATGTTTCTCTATACATTCGTAGTTGATTGACGATAGTCAAGACTCTTGTGAAATAGTCCTCCACTTTTTTTGTTTCCTTTATTTGAAGTGCCTCAAATTTGACTTGGAGAGTTTGAAGTCGAACCTTCTTTATCTTGTCTATACCTTTATATGCAACTTGAAGTATCTCCCATGCTTGTTTAGAGGTAGATGCACTAACCACTTTCTCAAAGTTTGCCTCATCCACTGCTTGATAAATGAAGAAGAGCACCTTCTTATCCTTCTTTCTACTTTCTTTCAGCAGTTCCCTTTGGGCTGTTGATAATACTGAATCATCTTGATGCTCGACATAGCCTTTCTCAACTATCTCACAAATATCTTGCGATCCAAATAAAGACTTCATTTGAAGACTCCAATTCTTGTAATTCTCCTTTGTGAGATGAAACACTTATAGATTCATACTACTTGCCATCGAACTTGGCTCTAATACCATTTGTTAGAGAGAAATTTGTTATGCCGATTCAAGTAGAGCCGGTATTGTTACGCCGCCCCAACAGGTTATTACGCTGGCTCAAGTAGAGCCGGCCCATCACACCTACAGGAGGCAAATCAAGCCCGCCTCCTCCCCTAGCTTTTGCCAAACTGATGGGGCCCACCCCATCTAAGTGGATTTCAAAAAGGATAGAGGGGGGCAGTAGGCTTTTAGGAGGGAAATTAGATTAGGAAGGTTTGGGTATTAAAGTGCATGAGGGAATTAGGGAATGTTATGTTTTGATTGATTGCAATTAGGGTTTCTTGGAGGCTTGGGCTCTAGACAATCTTGTCTAGAGATTTGGGAGAGACGATCCTCCTCTCGAATTGAGGATCCCTTGTATCTTGCTTTGTTCTTGTTTCTCGTTGATTATTATAAGAGTTTGCTATCGTTTGTTTGTTCTTCCACCACGTTTCTCTCGTTTTCTCGTTGTTTTACTAATTATTGATTAGGTTTGCTTGTGAACTCAAGTAAATCCGATAGGATTACTTGCGAACTCAAGTACTTCCTATAAAAATTATTTGTAAGAGTGGAAGAGGATAAAAAACAAGAGGAACTTCTATTAGAAAATTTTCTTTCTTACATCAAAATGACAAGACTCAATGCTTTTTTATACTTGTACAAAGACAATTTTAGAAACACATTCTAGAGATTTCCATAATAAAAGTTCAACCACCAACCACCAAAAGTTTTTATATATTCTAGATATTTCTTCCATACAAATTTCCTAAATACATAACAAACTTGGTCATTAATTTTGGTTTATATTTCCAACACACTTTTCGTCAGTGTTATTTAAGGTTAAGTTTTATTTTGATATCTTAGAATATTTTGTTTAGTGCATGTAGGTTTATTATTATTTTCTAAATAAGCCTAAAATCAATCTAATTATTCCACACCTTGGGCTAGTATTAGATAATTTAGGGTTAAGACCAAGTGCTCTCCATTTTATCAAATACAACAAACCTATTTATGCCTTTTTGGTGCTCGAAATTATTAGATCGGTGCAGGACTAGAACTTCAAATTGATAACATGCAAGTGTTGACATGGAAATACAATTGATGGCTAGGTGTTGTTGATGTCGATATGCAATTGAGGACAAGATGGTTTTGGCATCAAAATCCTATTGACAAGGAGTTGTTGCTAGCAGCAAAGATTGACGTAGTTGCTCTTGCAGATCATCAAACTCTACCTATCTATAACTCTAATTTCTATCTTAGTTGCTTGTTATATGACCTTAATTACTATCTTATATGTCAAGTTAGTATTAGCCTTTCTATTTGTTGTTTTGTTCGTAGTGGTAGTGGATAATAAGACCACAACTGGTTATGATGGGTATTTACCTTTTAATTAAAAAAATTAGCAGCAAAAGGTGGTTACCTTCGACATGTTTTTGCGTCATCTTCTTTGTCTCGATCCGTACGACGACATCATTTGTTATTAGAGTCGTCGAAGATGGACTGCAGCTATGTCGCCTACATCCTAGTTCATGACTGCAATTGTAGTTGGATCCTCTAGAAAGCTCACGCCATCCTTGAATATAAGATGGATACTCTTATCAAAGGCTTTCAACATCTTTTTAAGGAGGTGCAACATGAGTTCCAAGAATTTAGGAATTTCAAGGTCCCTAACCAGATGACTTACTAGTAGATTTGCACCAAACCAGTAAAGGGCGATAACCCTACATTGAATCAGGATTTGTGGCATCCCTGTCGATCCAATCGACATGAGCAAGGCTTCATGGATTTTAAGACGAGCTATTCTGTCATCGCTGGACTACTACTCCATATCATTTAGATGGTGAAACAACTTTCCTTGAACCATCCCACAATGTTGGACCATACACGGTCGAATCGACAATGAGTTCAATGTTAAAATTGAGATTCCCTACTTTACAATCACCTACACATTGAGGACCATCTTGATTGGGAGAAGGGGGTGAAAATTTTCTCCAAATATTTGGTTATTCCTCAAGAGAAACAAGTTAAGTATGTGGCTTGCATGTTTGAGTGTAGAATGGATGCTTGTTGGAATCAACTTACCCAATCCCCTGGTTGTGAGGGTAGGAGGAATGTCAAGACTTGGCTTAAGATGAAGCAATCGCTACTGTAGATAATTTGTTTCGTCGAACTAAGAACAATTGTTGAATCTCCAGTACCAAAGATATTCACAGGGTTCTCGTTTCGTGAGCACATACGTCAAGGAGTTTGATTAACTTAGCACATCGAACAATCATAATGAGATCATACTATAGCTTGTAGATCACTAATTTGATGGGTTAAACAATGCTATTCAGGACCAATTGAGATGAATGGTATTTGGTTGCTCTCTCAAGCAGTTAATTTTTCTTATAAGGTTGAGAGATTGCTTAAACACCATCTAAATCCACCATAGAAAAACAAATGCTGAGTAATTTGTTTTTTAAGTTGTGATTATTTTGAAGGGTACATGTTTTATTACCCTCATGAATTTTCCTTACATATAAAGAAATATTGAACTTTGGTGTTTTTTTTTTTATGTTAGATGAATTCTTACAAGTTCTTTTAAGAGGGCAGCTTTTCAAGATCCTTTATGAAAAAGAGAAGCTCAACCAAATGAATGCTATGTTTTCTCATGATTACATCTTAGTTACGTTTGGATGGCTTAATGATAGTAGGTTTATCTGGTTGTGAGTGATGAAACAAAAATGAACTATGGATGGTATGTATGTAATATTAAAGTTTCAGGTGTTAAATATGTAAATAGAATATTATTATGTGGTATGTATGTAAATCTCCTAGTTTGTGTTAAAGGCAGATCTTAACTTAATGCTTTTTTCTATTTTAGATTGGAGAAGTTGGGTGCTCTTGTATGGGACAAGGTTGTTAATCAACATGAAGGGTGGAGGCTCATCACATGCATTTGGTTGCATGCTGGTGTTATCCACTTGTTGGCCAATATGCTCAGTCTGGTTTTTATAGGGATTCGCCTTGAGAAGCAATTTGGTTTTGGTAAAAGCTTATTACTCTTCTATTTTTAGTTGAATGTAATTGTGTTTCTTGATAATAGAGCCCATGTTTATTTTATTTGTCACCTTTTGCTCCATGAACTGAAACTTAGCTGATGTTAGTCAAAATATTAAATGTTTGGGGCTGCTGCCTCTCTCTTCAACTCAATCTCACCTTTCCATCTTGAAATTATTAGAAACTAAAATTTAAACGTCATTACGCTTTTTCGTTAGTCTAAGCTGGAACATCTTGTTGTTTTTACAGTGCGGATAAGCATAATATACCTTCTATCTAGGTTTGGAGGAAGTATCCTGTCATCGCTATTTATCAGAAACAGTATTTCTGTTGGTGCTTCAGGGGCTTTATTTGGGCTTCTTGGAGCAATTCTTTCAGAGCTTATTACAAACTGGACCATCTATAGTAACAAAGTAAAAAATACGTATTCTGCTTTTAAAATTATATTAGCTCAGTTTAATTGAATTTCAGGGTTCACTAAGGTACTTTTCTTTGTAGGCAGCATCACTACTGACACTGTTGCTTATCATAGCGATCAACTTAGCTATTGGAATACTTCCGCATGTTGACAATTTTGCTCATATTGGAGGATTCGTAACTGGTTTTCTTCTAGGATTTGTTTTGTTGCTCCGACCTCAGTTTGGTTGGGTGGAACGCCACAATCTGCCCGCTGAAAGCCTGGTTAAATCAAAGCACAAGGCTTATCAATATGTCTTGTGTGTGATCGCACTGCTTTTACTGATATCTGGGTGAGCTCTTTACTGTCTAGCTTAGCATTTCATCCACAAATTTCATCTTAAGAATTTTTAATTGTCTATATTCAAAATTTACAATTTTATTAGTTTACCATCATAATCTTCAAGAAGTATGATATACCACTGTAGCATATTAACTCTAATAAAATGTTAACTTGGTTAATTGTGTTGACGCTTTTTTGTCCAGCAAGCTGCAAGTAAACTTTCTGCATAACAAGAGAATAAGAACATAACAGTAACAGGAAGAAAGGTTAGAGCAAGTAGAATATTTCTGCTCCTTTCTTTACTAGGGAACAATACAAGCTATTGATGCTAGTAGAGAAGAAACCAAATCATTACAGCTATAGGTATTGTAATAAACTAACGGCTAGGATTAGAGTTGAGATTAGAGGTGTATGGTCTAGATCAAGACAACATAGAAAGTTGAAAATAATGGAAGTGGAGCAGCAATGGCATATTTTATTCGATTAACATGCCCCTGCAAGCTGGTGGTATCATAGAGACCGTAAGTTTATCACGTAGTGCTAAAAATGAGGCATAGAGAGAATAATTGTAAATATATCAGCAATCTAATCTTTGGACGGCAAGATGATGAACAATAACGTCCTTGTACTTGATACAATTACAAATTAAATGATAGTCCACTTTGTTATGTGTGGAATATGATTTTGTTGATTAATCAGATTGTTCTGTTGCCTCGGATCTCAAGTTTCTTGTGCTTGCTTGGGGGGTGCGGGGGGTTTACCCCCCTACTTGCACCCAAAAAATTTTTCCCCCTATTGTGCCCTGACACTATGTACCCAAGCACCTCGGTGCTGTGTTCCCGAGCGTCTTAGGGTTTAACGACAGAGAGCAGAGCGTTGCATCAGCATAGATACGGCGTTGCGATCAAGACAGAGGTTCAAGCGCCACAGCGCTTCAAACTGGTGCCGCAGACTTGACATTCTTCTTTCTCGTTTTTCTGAAGGGTTGCGTCCCTTGGGAGTTACTTGGCTTTCTCATGTATTTTGAGTGTTAGACATTGATAATGGTGCATGTGAGAAGAGAATCAAGGAGAGAGTGAGTGAGAAGAGAGATCTGTACTTATTTCTCTCAATTTTCATAGTGGATTTCTTAGTCTGGTATGACACTGTGTTTTTTCCTAATTTGGGTTTTTCCACGTTTAATCCCGGTGTCCTTTACTTCCCGTTGTTTCTACTTTCTTGCTTATTTCATCATTGTGGTGTTTACCTCTCATCCCAAACAACTGGTTTCAGAGCGAGGTTCTTCAGATTGAGTGGGAGTAATGGCGGACGAAGCAATGTACAAGATTGAAAAGTTCAATGGTTCGAACTTCTCATTATGGAGGATGCAAATTGAAGATTTGTTGTATCAAAAGAAGTTATATTTACCATTAGAAGGAATCACCAATAAGTCAAATTCTATGATTATGAAGGAATGAGACGTTCTTGACCGGACTGCACAAGGTTCGATGCAACTTTCACTTTTCTCATATGTTACAATCAACATTGTAAATGAGAAGTCTACAGCTAATCTCATTGCCACATTGACTAAGATGTATGAGAAGCCATTGGCCTCAAACAAAGTGTTCCTGATGAAGAAGTTATTCAATATAAAGATATTGGACAACACTCTAATGGCAGAGCACTTGAATAATATAAACATTGTGATGAGTCAATTGTGTTCAGTTGGCATCAATTTTAATGATGAGGTGAGGACATTGTTGTTGTTATCTTCATTGCTAGAAAGCTGAGATGAGATATATATATATATACAGAAGAATGTCAGTCAAATTCTTTGATTTTATCTTTGGATAATTTTGAATCTTGGGTGATAGATTCAGGTGTTTCTTTTCATGCAAGTCCTAACAAGGAGTCATTCAAAAACTATACTCAAGGTGATTTGAGTAAAGTGTATCTCAAGGACAACAAGCCCTGCAACATTGTTTGACAAGGAGATGTTGATATTAGAATGCCATATGAGTTAATTTGGAGACTCAAGAATGTTAAACACGTTCCTTATCTAAAGAGGAGTTTAGTTTCTATGAGTCAACTTGCAAACTTAGCCCATGTGGCATCATTCATAGGAGATACGGGGAAGGTGATAAAAGGGGCTATGATTATAGCTCTTGGTAGTATTGAAGACACTCTATATGTTATCAATAGAAGAGCAAAATTCTATAGGGGTAGCAGATTCAGATGTTGATGGAGGACTTTGGCATCGAAGGTTTGGTCATATGGATAAGAAAGATATGCATTCACTTCTTACTAGAGAAAAGCTTCATGGTTAAAAATCTATAGATTTCAATTTTTGTGAAGATTGTGTATATGGCAATCAACATTGGGTGAGCTTTTCAAATACTGGTTCAAAGGTCAAGTCAAAGAAGTTGGAGTTAGTGCATACTGATGTATAGGATTCTGCTCCAATTTCTTCTATAGCAGGATCTTTGTATTTTGTTATATTTATTGATGATCACAATATGAAAGTATAGGTGTACTTCTTAAAACATAAGTCAGATGTGTTTGATGTTTTAAGAAGTGGAAGGTCATGTTTGAGCTTGAGACATGTTTGAAGCTCAAGTGACTCAGATCAGATAACGATGGCAAGTATCCTGACAAGAAGTTCAAATAGTATTGTGCTTTGAATGGGATCCGGCATGAGCTCACTATTCCAAGAACACCACAGCAGAACGGTGTTACAGAGTGCATGAATAGAACTATCACTGAGCGTGCCAGGAGCCTCTGTTTAAAATTGCGCAATCAGAGGCGCGGCGCGCCTAGGCACGCCTCTGTGCAATTTGACCAAAAAATGCCTCGAGGCTTGCGCAATTCTTCTCTTGGCAGTGGCGTACGCCTCACCTGGTCTGAGGCGTGCCTCGGAGGCACAATTGCACAATTCTGGGTGAGGCGTACGCCTCATAGAACCGGCCCCACCCACTTAAAATGAAGCCTTTTCTCCCCTTAATCCCGCATGGCTTCCCGGTTATCCCGAAATTTTCCTTCCCGCACCCTGTGTTTGCGAAACTGAGGGGTTACCGCATGGTCGGCTTCCCTTCCCGCTGGCGCCACCTCTCTCCAGGAAACTTGAAGTGTCCGGCCACCCTCTACGAGTACTCCACAATCGATTTTAGGTATTTTTTTAGTTAAGGGTTAGATTTTTCAAGTGAAAGAATATCTACGATTTTTTATTTTTTTTGATTTTTTTTTTGTGTTTTTGGATTTTTGCTTTAGGAAACATGGTTAGAGGCAAAGAAAAGACGAATACGTCATTGCGGCGTGACCCTTCTTGGAAATAGTGTGCAAGTTGACGTAGGAGGCGGGGAGAAGACGTATGTGTATTTAAAATGCAATTTTTGTGAGAAAGTGGTGAAGGGCGGAAAACCCGCATGAATGAACACTTATCATGCTCTCATAAGAACGTAGCACCGTGTGCAAAAGTGCCGAACAATGTGAAGGATGAAATAATTGCTTACATGAAGAAAACTATCATGGAAAAACACTTACAACATGAGCAATTTGATGAAAGGGTCGAACAAGGTGCTTACTTCGGGAGCGAGAGTGGAAAGGGCTCTTCCTCCACTATACATAATAGAGGTGCACGGGGTCCTATGGATCAGTATATGACTAATCCAGGAGAGGATAGAGGACAAGCAGAGATGATGCCTGCGGCTGGTACCAGAGAGGGTCGGCGACAGGTTTGCATGGATATTGGGAGGTTATTTTTTTGAGAATGTCATACCATTTAATGTTGGGACATCGCGTGCCTACTTCAATATGCTGCGGTCTGTAGGGTTGTATGGGAGAGGGTTGAAGGCACCATCCATGTACGAGTTGCGAACATGAATTTTGAAGGAGGAGCTGCAGAACACAGAGCGGAGCATTGATGAGATTAAACGGACATGGATTGAGACTGGTGTTACCATTATGTCAAATGGATGGTCTGACATGAAGAACAGGAGCTTGATTAACATCCTTTTCAACCATCCCTACGGCACGGTATTTTTATGATCAGTTGAAGCTTCAAATGATGTTAAAAATGCTTCATTTATTTTCAATTTACTAGATGAGGTTATTGAGGAGATTGGGGAGCAATTGGTTGTGCAAGTGGTGACTGACAATGTCAGTACTTACAAAGCAGCTGGTCATATGTGATGGAGAAGATGACACACCTATATTGGACCCCCTGCGCAGCACATTGTATCGATCTCATTTTGGAGGAACTTGGTGACTTACCTCAGCACAAGAGCGCTCTTTCTAGGCCGAAGAAGATCACAAAGTTCATCTACAACCACTCATGGGTCTTAGGCCTTGATGAGAAAGTTTTCAAAGAAGGAAATCATTTGCCTTGCAACCACTAGGTATGTTTTTACATTTGTGCACTGCAAATTATTATCAATTCATAATGTATGTTCTTATATTTGTGCATTGCAAATCTACAGGTTTGCTACATCTTATTTGACACTGCAGGGCCTGTTGGATGTGAGACAACCTCTGGAAGTAATGTTTACATCAACAAAATGGCTTAACTTTCCGTGGGGTAAGAAAAGTGAGGGGAAGGAAATAAGAAAGATAATTCTGAATGATAAATTTTGGGCTACTGTGACCTATGTCATATTGAGCACGAAACACTTAGTGCATGTACTGCGCTTAGTGGATGCCGAGAAGAAACCAGTCATGAGTTTTATTTATAATGCTATGGATGAGGCCAAGGAGTTGATTGCACACAACTTGGGAGGAGAGGAGGCAAGTTATAGAGAGATTTGAGATATCATTGATGCTCGGTGGGAGGTACAGTTACACCGCCATATACATGCAGCGGCATATTATCTCAATCCTCAATTTCAATATTCAGAGAAGAAATCTTCAAACCCGGAGGTGAAGCTTGGTCTGTATTATTATATGAAACGACTAATACCGGAGCAGACAGATAGGGAGCTTGCAGATTTATAACTTGTTCTATTTCGGAATAAAGATGGTTTTTTTGGTCTGAATGCAGTAAAATCAACCATTGTCAAACGGTCTCCAGGTATAGTTATTTTGGTAAATGCAATACACTTTATTCAGTTTTGATTATCTTTTTTATTCTTAAAAACAGTAGAATGGTGGATCCAATTTGGTGATTCCACCCCTGAGTTACAGAGTTTTGCTGTAAGAGTGTTGGGCCTCACTTGCTCTTCTTCTGGGTGTGAGCGAAACTGGAGTACATATAGTTAAGTGCAAACAAAGAAAAAATCGGCTATCAACAATCAGAATGAACTCCCTCGTATATATTATGCACAACAAGAGGTTAAGAGATAGGAGGTTGAGGAATAAGGGGTTGAGGGATGATGACACAGATTTGTCATTATCAGATAATGAGTGGTTCATAGATGATGACACAGATTTGTCATTATCAGACTTACAGCTAGAGAATCTAAGTGTGGATGTCTTGAGGGGCGAAGCAGATCAAGTGGGCAAATCCACAAGTACCACACCACACACATCTATTAGCTCTGCAGCTTAACAATCAAGTAAATGTATTCCACAACTTCTTATATGCTATTGCATTATATTTATATCAAGTAAGTAATTAACATGATAATGATCTTTTCTCTTATTGAACATGAAAGAGAAAAGTGAGTCATATTGAAGATGATGATGATATGACATTCATAGATACAATTGTAGAAGAAGATTCCCTTCAAGACCCATTTAGTGATGGGATATGATTGCATTTTATATGTTCTTTATACTTTGGGAGTTTAGTTAAACTAATATTTTGTGGTTTGTACTTTGGGACATGATTTTATTGTATCTATTTTCTTACTTTCCACTATTTTCATATATCATTTAGATGTTTTTATTGTATTATAGAATCTAGCTATTATTTACCTGCTAAAATTCTTAAATTCTTATTTACACAATTTTGCGTCTGTGAGGCTTACGCCTCACACCGCCTCGAGGCTTGATTACGCAATTTTAAACCTTGCCAGGAGCATGAAATTTCATGCTGGTCTACCCAAGAAGTTTTGGGCAAAGGTAGTGAATATTGCAGTTTATTTGATCAATCATGATCCTTCAGTTCCACTGAATGAGGGGTTATCTGAGGAAACTTTGATACCATGTTGACGCCCCTTTGATCAGCAAGTCGCAGGTAAACTTTCTGCATAACAAGAGAATAAGAACAGAACAGTAACTGGAAGAAGAAAGGTTAGAGCAAGCAGAATATTTCTTCTCCTTTCTTTACTCGGGAAAAGTAAAAGCTGCAGCTGCAGGTATTGTAATAAACTAATGGCTAGGATTAGAGTTGAGATTAGAGGTGTATGGTGTTGATCAAGACAACATAGAAAGTGGCAAACCGTGGAAGTGTAGCAACTTTGGCTGCTTTTATTCGGTTAACAAATTGGTCTTAAGCTAAAAGAAATATTTATTACTTCTCTAAGTGACAAACCTTTCTTAATAATGAAAACAATCTTCTCCATAACTCGATCAGATCTGATAGAATTCAGAATAACTAAACCCAGGCTTGTAAACACAATCGGCTTAGGTCAGTGCGTTTCAACTAAAGCTTTTGGACTGGAAACATGACTAATAAACTTTTTAACTCATCCGACCCTACCGTCTGGTAATAAGAGTTGATTGAGTCTTCATTTGTGACAGCTTTCTTACTACTTTCTAAAGCAGCTTTCTAATAATTTTTTTTAAATTTTTTTTTTGTATTAAAAAGCAATTGAAAAGTTGTCCCAAATCATTTCTATCTTTGTTACTCATTATTATTTTTTTGCAGGTTTACTGTTAGTTTGGTGATGTTGTTTCGAGGGGTGAATGGTAATGATCATTGCAAATGGTGTCACTATATAAGCTGTGTGCCCACCTCAAAATGGAGTTGCGGGAATTGAAGAACCAACAAGAACGAGGTGTGTCCCTTTGAACAGAATAAAATATTTCAATTGTCTTTTTTGCTACCTTTTTGAATTTTTTTTTGTTTGTACATAATAGTTCTTACTAGTCCCATTGATTTCTTCGGATGGTATGTGTTGTATTATTTGCACTTTTTTTTTAATTCAAAAATTAGACTCAGGTTTCGTGTGGGACGGCTTTCTTACTGCTTCTTAAAGTAAATTTTTAATATAAAATTAATTTTTTTTTATTAAAAAATAGCTTTAAGAAGCAATAAGAAAGTTGTCCCAAACGAAACCTCAGCTTAATAGGAAGATGGTACAGCTATGTTTTTTTACTTGTGAAAGTTGTGAGATTTATATTTGTACATTGCAGTCCTTATTGTAATAATATTGTAGCTGTTGAGTTAGGAGTAATCACTGAAATAATTGCTGATTGTTTCACTTTATGCTTTGCTTCCTCCAAATTGTGTTATCAAGAAAAATAGTACAAAATCCTTAAAAGATTCAAAAACTCGCTAAATACTCAAAGAGAGGCATCCAAAAAAGTGAAAGAAATCTAATGAGAAAATGATCCCTATCTAAATTATAAAATGATTGCACAAGTTGATAGGCAGGCAAGAAGCAAAAACCTCAAAAATTCCAAATGGAGAGCAACGATAGCCAGAGCCAGCATACTCACAATAAGCCCAACTTAGTAACCCATTCTGCACCACCAAAGAAAACACGGCCCAATATAACAACCAAAACCAGCCCACTAGCCCAGAACAATGACAATAAGCCCATCCATTCATATAAACTAGTATAGTAATACATTTTATAAAATTTTAAAATGATTTGAAAATGCATCAAATACTTAGAAGTAACATATGTCAGGATAAATAATTCATTAAATTATAATATATGAGTATTTAAATGAAAATTTTGAAGCTTATTTATGAATAAATTTTATTAATAAAAAAAATGTAAATCTTATATATGGATCAATGACTAATGCTACATGAAATATTATATATTACGCTATATAAATAAGAAAAAAAAATAAGGCTTTATGGTTGCTTGCTATAATATACATGTTGCATGGCCTATTTTCACTTGTGTTTGTACTGATTATTTTAACTAAAAAACCCTAAACAAATTGAGCCATTAGCTTATTGGTTGAAGTAGCTATCTTAATTAGAGTAAATCACGACATTATATAAAGATAGTTGATACCTTTTTTGAGAAAACTCTGAAAGCAAGTTTTTGAGCTTAGATGAGCACGTCTAGTTTAATCTAAGAATGTGTTGAAGAGTTCATTATGATCTTGGAAAGTTCGCAATAGTTTTCATAAGTACATTACAAGCTAGCAAATTCTTGTTAGTCTTGGTGAGCTCATGATGGGCTTGAGATATTCGTCATCTTTATTGTTTTGGCTTGACCGAGTTGCCCTAAACTAGGCCGGCTTTGTATGAATCAAGTGCCTTAGAATTTGTGGATCTTCAAAAATAAAATCTAAGTTCAACTTTTGTTCAAATAATTCTAACCTCTATGTAGCCTACATTACCCTGTTTCCTAAATGTGAAACCTCCCTTCCTTTCCCACTTAAGATGAATAAGAATATTGAGATTATTATGACAAGAAATAAACTAATAATTAAAGGTGTACACGATTCGATTAGATTAGAAAATCAAATGAAATTAATAACTAAATTTAAAATTAAATTCAAACTATCATTATGATAAATCAAATAAAATTGAACATAAAATTTTGATTTAATTGAACTTAAGATTACAAAATTTCAATCTTTAGCTCAGATGTAGATTGAGTTCAATGCATGATTAAGAATTAGTTTGGGACAGTTTTCTTACTGCTTCTTAAAGTAACTTTTTAGTACTAATTTTGATGCTCGAAAATTGTTTTAAAAAATAGTAAAAAACTGTCTCAAATGAAGCCTTAATATCGGAGTTGTTCAATGATTCCAAATGGGAGTAAAAAGGGTTGTGATTTCACATTAACAAACGGGCTGGTTAGGAATAAAATTTATAATTTTATTTTAATTAATCAATTTGTGTGAGTTATTTTAATTGATAAAAACTCAAAATTATATAAAAAAAGACTAAATAAACATCACACCGCTCACATCGATCTGTTGCCTGGTTGCCACCAACTAAGTCAGAAGTTTTAGATTCAAAGCATGAGTATGCATTTAAATAAAATATCAAATAAAAATAATAATAAGCAAGTTTAGCGATTTTTTTTTTTTGGGAAAATTAAGGGCAAAATCCCAATTTCATTAACATGTAAAAAAAAAGAAAGAGAGAAAAATATTACATGTGTGATATACCATTGGCCAAAAAAGGAATAAAAAACTAATGCTCAAAAACAAAACGACCAACAGTAATAAAAATAACTGTGACAAACAGATATTCAAAACGCAGAGAGAGATTGAATGCCAAGGCCTAAAGCCCAAGTGGCTCAAATTGCTATCAAAATAGAAGGAATATTCAAAATCAAATAAATAGTAATAGAACAAAAGGGCCAAAAATAAGAGCCTAGGTTGCAGGGGCGGATCCGAACTTAATTTTCAGATGAGGTCAAATTTATAAGTAAAAGTGTAGAATTTTTTCTTTTTTTCATAAATATCCTTACAACCAAAATTTGTTCCAAGGGTGCTGCCTCTCGACCCTTATTTATCTATTATTATACACTTCGCAGATATGTCGGGGGTCCAAGGGAGCAGTGCCCCCGAAACAAATTTTGGTTGTAAGGATATTTTTGGATTCTCTTTTCTAATTTTCTTTGTATTTGATTCATCATTTCCTAAAAATAACATATCTACACAATCTGTTTAATTATGTTAGGGCAATTACCTAAAGAGCATATTATTTTAAAGCTTTTAAGGGGGGAAATTGCCCAAAAATCCTTGTAATAAAGACTAAAAAATACACGAAGCAAGATAAATTACCTAAATAATCATATAATAAAAAAATTATTTTTTCAGGGGGGTGGGCAATTGCCCCTCGGTCTTAAAAAGTGGGGAAATTATTGGGTCGGGCCATCAGATGTGTTCGGAGCCCAATGAAAATGTGTCACATTACCTCCTACTCGGTACTGAACAGTACCAAGCACTACCTCAGTACCGAGCTCGGCACTGCTTGGTACTCAGTACTTCGCAGTACCGAGCTCAGTATTGCTCAGTACTGTGAATAACAAACGTAAGTTGCGTCCGGTGACCTGACTCAATGATCTCTCCTTAAAGTGGGTCTACCCATGCCTGGTTGCCACATGAGGGCCTTCCAAGATCTCATCCAGGCCTAGTGAGGCTATATTAACATATAAATAAATCTCGACCACAGGTAATGCAGGTGTCGTGGTGTAGTTGGTTATCACGTCAGTCTAACACACTGAAGGTCTCCGGTTCGAACCCGGGCGACGCCACCTAAATATTTTTGAAGCATTTTGTTATATCGATTTTCTGCTTTTTCATTTTAGGACTGTTTGTGTTATTTTCTGGTTGTCTGTCACCCTTATTAACTATTATGTTCGGATTGTTTATAAGCTTTCCTTTTTAGAGCTAATTAATAATTATGAGATTAAGGGTTTGTTTTTTTGGATGGCTTTCTTACCTCACCTCATAAGTGCTTAATTAGGTGGAAGCATAAGTTTAATTTTTTTTCCTCCAAGATATATATATTTGAGATCATTTTTTTTAATGGTAAAAATTGATTTGAGATTTGTAGATATATGATTAAATTTTCTCGGGTGGAATCAAGAAGAGCCCAAGGTTAAATTTTATTTTTCTTATCAGAATAAATAATTTAATTATTCTATCTACCTTTAATAACTGCAGTTGCCTGAATTCTCATAAAAAAAATCATTTTTTTCTATTTCATTCATAAAATTATGTATTTCATAATCATATTTTGCTCACCCTCAAAACTCAGAAGAAAGATTGGTTCCGCCTATGAATTAATATCATTATATAATATTTTCTTAGGTTTAATAATAGACTTCACAAGGCAATCTTTGACATTTATGAAAAATACTCCACAGTTAATAATGTACATAAACTTGATTAAAAATATATCATGAATACTTTTCATGAATGGTATGGAGAATTGAATATGATTTATTTAATTCTAAGATGTCAATTTTGTATACTTGATTACATACAGAAGGTTCTAGATAAAATTCCTAATAAAAGGAAATCACCGTATAGTGTACATTTTTTTTTAAACAAAAGTAGCATTATATTGAACTAAAAAGGGTTACATAAGATAAAGAGCAAAAGCCAAAAGAAACAACAAAAAGTAAAGAGAGAACTCCAAACGAGGGCTCAGTAAAAGGCCGAGGCTCCCAGCACCCCTGAAGCCACACAAGGACCATCCAATATGGCTAAAGAATCACCACAGGTTGCCACCAGCTATGACGCGGAGGTGCGAGCCCCAGCCACATCATAGCCCAAAAAATCGTCGACCCACAGAGAAGGCCAAAAGTCCAAAAAACCAGTAGATAAAGCAATAGAGAAAAGTCACGGGAAATAAGGGGGCTATCTTCCTCTCCTGCCCCTCCCAAGAAACCTCCCACGAGAGGCGACAAAGAGAACAGGTCAATCACGTACCAGTTTAAAATCATGACCAGGATCAGAACCTCTACAATACTCCGATGAGGAATCAGAATCAGATTCCAATTCAGACGAACAATACAACCAATCAAGATGTGTCCTAACATCCATCCCTTAATTATCACCCACATGTTACACCAAAGCTTGGGTGTCAATCAAATTCACAGGCACATTAATAAATGAGTTAGAACTGAGTAGCAAACCATTCCCATCAATACCACCACCTCCAACAGTAGAAACAACACTATTTACACCTCCACATTCCTCGGTAAGGCTCACACGCGAGCCAGAAATACCCAAAGCTTCAACACCCAAGGCAGGAGAAATGATAACCTTAGGTTGAGCCTCATCCACATGAACAACAGCCACCATCGAACTAATATCAGGCGCTAGC